GGGAAAGCAGAAAGAGAGTATTTTTAAAGTTTCGAAGTTTCCAGGGGGATGGTTTCTGGCAGAATGTACCGATACGTAATGTTGCATTCTAACCTAACACACACATACACAAACACACAAAAAGCCTTTAGTTCCAACTAAGCTTTGTCATTTTTTTCACAACACTTGTGTGGACTTTTTCAATGACTCATCTCAGAGACTGAATTTGAAAAGCCTAGTAGGTGCGACAAAGAAATGTTTCTTGCAAAAGGTCCATGTAGCTAAGTTTGTATTTTAGGAGCTGGAACCCCACATGCTATCCTTTGGGGACTACAATTTTTCCTTGAATTGCTGAACAGCAGCTTGTACCACTACTTGGTGACCCGGTGAATTGGACCCACCGGAAAGGGGAAACTAACTATGGAGGGATATCGATACAGGTTTTGTCTAAGTGAAGTACTGCAGGACCGAATCCCAGGCTCATGAGTCATGAAAAGTTTAAAAAAGAAAAACATTTGTCTAGCACCTAATCCTACAAGCCTTAATTCATGCTCTTAATCTTTACTCACAGAAGAGGTTCTATGGACTTCCTGGGTCTGCTTATGCAGATAGGTCTTATAGGCATAAGAGCTTGACAAAGCTTTTTCCGTCCTGGTCAGGATTACTTCCTTTTGCCAGGTGATTCAGAGGGAAAAAATATGATTGCAGCTACTTTTATTTTACGTTTGGGTGGCAACTACAGTCAATCAAAAGCGTTTCTTAGAATCTGAAGGAGGCAAGAGTTTTGATGTAGTGAATAATTGTTTTTATTTTTTATTAAATAGTAACCATAGATGTTTTTGAACTGGTTGGTAGAAGAGCTGCTGGACAAAACAGTTGGAGCTATGAGTGTTTAAATTCTGATGTTTCTGTGAAATTCTCAGATTGTTTAATCCTATAAAATATATCCTTACAATTTTTTGTAAAAGAAAATATTATCCTTATTTATCACTAATACCATCATGAGTAAAGTTAATAAATACTGCGAGCAAGATAAAACTGAAAACACAAGTGTTGTGCTGTCTTCTTGCTTTTATCTGTTGGTGTTTAATATTATATATTCCTAAACTTCACCAGCTGTATTTGAGACACCACTATTGAAAACACTTATCCTTCATCTTTTCCACAGATGAGGCACTGAGTATCTTGAATGAATGGGTGCAGAGATGATACCTTCCAAAATTCTGTACCTCCATCAATGGTGTCTAGCTGCTCAACGTCACAATTTAAGTGAAGCAGACAATAAGAATGAAGGTTACAGTACATAATATTTTACACCAGTTGCGCAGTGTTGAAATTGTGTTTTTGTTCTAAAGGCTAAAATTGAAGATACCTCAGCCATAAGCTTCTTACCCTATAAGTCCTGGATAAGTCTATCAGATATCATACCTGATCCTTATATGATCGTTATATTCTGCAACAGAACTTCTTAGTACATTTTTCTAAGATCTGGATATATTGTAATGTCCTATATCATGTTTTAAGATATGTACTTCATGTATCTGAAAAGTGACTGTATTATAGAGATGACATACAAGGTCTGATTCTGTCCTGAGAATCCATTGTCTTTCTGTATGTTGGAAGGAGCTTCCATTGACTTCAATGAGAGTTTCATTCATGCCCTACAGGCAGAGATTGGAGCCTCTGCTGCGACTTCCTTGGCTCAGAGGGCAAGTTCCACGAGGAATTGGGCCAGCTGTTTATCAAAGAATGGATATACATGAAGTGTGTTACAATAAACTTGTCAAACGGTGTTCATTGGTATTTGACTTCTGTAATGTGGAAAAATAAAACCGAGGCATCATCATGGTATCAAACACCTTGGCTTTGCCTTTTGTGCATCAAATACCAGCAGACAAAACTGTTTGCCTCCTATACTGTTATAAAGTGTTACCACAGGGACTAGATTATAATGACAGAATTCATGTGTCTCCCTTAGGGAATTTGTATGGTTGCTTTTAACCGTATCACTGGTGACGCAGGCGTCATGCTTTTGTTGCTTGATGTTATTTACTCGGCATGTCAAATGTTAATATGGTACCACTACTATTGTCAGAAGATAATCTATTTTTTATTTCTTTATATGTGCAGTCATAGCTGCTTTCTACTGCTTGTATGTGTGTGCGCATACATGCTCCTGCACGCTACTCTAGAAATGATGGTACTCAAGTCCATTTGGCTGTGCCCAGGAAAAGAGTGTTTAAGCAGCTAGACAGGAGCAGTACGTTGCATGAGTTTTCCAAAAGTATACTTTATTCAGGAGAGCCTTTAAAATGCATTAAAAGCAGTTTGTTTTCTATTCTCAAGTTTGTTTTGATACTTTAATAAAAAAGAATTAATATATATTTATTCACGTGTCATTTAATTCATTCTAAGTTTCAAGGTCCAGGAGCAACTTCATTTTCTTAAAAAAACACTCAGATATTAAGAAGCAAACACGTTTTATAGGTTTGCAACAACAAGCATCTTACCAAATGAAATTGCTACTGTTAGCTGCTTGTTAAGGTATAAACAAAGTTTTGTTATTTCAAGGTTGATCAAGAGTTCCGGGCTAATTTTTTATTTGTGTCCTAGGGCTTAGATTAAAGGACTGGAAATTAGAACTCCTGAACCTTTCCTAACCTTGCAACCGACCAGTCGATAGTTATTTCAGCTTTCTGATTACCTAATGGGTTTAATGCTTTTGCTGCTGTGAAGCTTTAATATTTATAGATTGCTTTCTATGGTTACATGGAAGATACTAAAGAAGTATAGCATGATTAGGGCTTTGGTTTGTTTCTCTGTGTGTTGGTGTGTGTGCATGTGTGTGGGTGGGTGTGTGCGTGGAGAAGCATGAGGAAAGATGAACAAAATGTTCTATCCTGCCTTTCCAAAACTAAGTATCTACACCCAGACAGAAGTCCCTGTGTTTTGACAGCCGGTGATGTGGACAAAAACTTTTGGCTTCAATCCTTTGCAAGTATTCATAACTTGTAATCCAGAGGTCAGATAGAAGGCCAGGAGCTCCAGGGACCAGGAAATCCAATGCGCTATTGCAAAATCTTGCTAAAAGTGTCAGCTGGAAGGAAGATCTAGGCTACTATAAGCCTGGCAATGTCGAATGCTAACTTTCCTTATCAGTATATCCATTTACAGATGTGCAGTTACAGTATATACATTCACCCTTTCAAACATTCTCCTATAGCTGCTATCAAGTTCCACTTTTGAATACCTGACTTACTTCTAACTTGGTAAATTTATAAATCATCTGCCTGGCCTGTTTTAGAAAACGTCATCAACAAAATCAGGGCTATAAATTCCTGAACTGTTCTTTTACAATATTTTCTTTAAATTGTATGAATTGAAACCATCACTGGTCTCTATGGCATATTCCTAGCAGCATAATTTATATTCCTAGACTGAAATAATACATCATATCCTCTCCTTAGGTCTTGTTTTAGGTGATAAATCTGTGTGTGTACAGGCCCATGCAAACCTTAAAGCATGCTGGGCTTTACAGTGTACATTAATAAGGAAAACCTACTTTTTTCTAGCTCTTCCCTTGATGTAAATGAATAAATAGCAATATTGAAGGTAAGTAGAGCCAATGACATGTTAGGCTGGAAACATTTTATGAAATTGAATGGTAACAAATTGAAATGTACAACAACTTTTCTACCTGGCCTCATTAGAATTTGAAATTAGTGATTAAGGGGATGGTTTTAAAATCACTGATTCTTAGTTTTGCAAGAGAGACTGGATGATATATGGGTAATGAAAATAAAACAGCACAATTGTTTGTTAGTAGCAAAAGAGTTTTGAAAATGAAATCTACTTCTACTTAAAAATTCCCTAAATCCAGAATGTCAGTTGTATCTTACATCCATTTTTCTTGGGTTTGTTTTTTCTCCTGCAGCAGAATACTGGACTAGGTACAAGTCGCATTTGTGCTTGCCATTGCCATGTTTCTATGTTTGTCCAGTGCCCCCAACTGGAGACCCCGAGAATCACATGATTAAAATGTAAATTAATACTATTGCACATAAGTACTTAGTAACATTCTTAATTCGTTTGTAATGACACCAGTATAATACTTTCATTTCTATAATAGACATCATTCCTTCTTAAAGTGTAGTTAAGATAAAGAGTGACAATATTTTTTTAAAATCCTGTTACTCAAAGTTCATTTCCTTAGTGGACGCTCTGAGTCAGAACTGTTGACTTTAGTGGTAAAAATAGTTATTTACTAATTTTCAGTGCTATTGGATCTTCAAAGCCATCACAGTTAAAAAAAGAATACACTGGAGTCTATTCTTGATACAGCATCAGTTCTGGCTGCATCTCTTTACTATTGCTGACAGTGAGGCATGAACCAAAAAAAAAAAAAATCTAATGATTTTCAGACCCCAAGCTAAGTGTATTAGAGCTGACACTCAGAAGAGTTATTAGACCTGTGAAATGAATAAATAGAAAATGAAAACAAATGGAGAGCTGAAGCTGGAATACTTTTTTTCTGCTTCTGAGGATTTAGCAACTTCATATTTGTATAGTTGGTGCACCACCATGCCCACTTAGACAGCAGCTATGCCCACACAGCAAACAGTAGTGTAGCATGGCAATACTTTTCGATAAGCTAGCTTAGTACTGGAGACATCCCAGCGATGACAGCAAGAAACTCAGCACAAGCTAATTGATGCCACTGAGAGGATGAGTTCTCCGTGCAGCCAGAGGACAGGCTGCTACTGGCATTTGAGGTAGCTCATTTAGAGCCAGCTCGGGTATCGTTCAGCTCCTCAGGTTAGCACACGTCACGTAGCTGCCTGCATTCACAACTAAACGGCTCCACCAGTTCAGACCAAAGGTTCACCCAGCCCAGTTTTCTTTCTACAGCAGTGATCAAAAGCAGCTGTCCAAGGAAGAATAAGAACAGGGCAAGTATGCTTCCTCTGGGTGCTTTCCCACATTCCGAC